TAAGCGAAAATCTCTTAAAACAGCAGTAATACAAATGTATTTAAATTTTTATAACAATTAAATTTAACAGGCTACGGAAACAACAATCTGGGGAATAAACTCATTTGCTGCACATTCTAAGAACTTGACAATTATAAATTGTTTTCATAAAGTGTAGGACGCACAGATGTCGAAGCCTTACTGACAAATATATATTCTGCTAAGTTAACAATTACCCTTTTCTTTGAAATGTGATATCGTCTGCATTACATTGTAAATAATTATTAAATGGTTACTTTTATATTGCATTTTTATTTAATACAAGAAAAAGTCTGCTTCCTAGGACGTAACGTGTATTAAATAAGTAGCCAATCATCATCATCATCAGCTCACTATACGTCCCCACCGAGGGGCTCGGAGTAAACTAATCAGAGAAGCACTTGATGTAATAAATCACAGTATGGTCGATATGAAAAATGTGAATATTTTTTTATGTACAAATAATATATGAAATCCAACATAATTTTTTGGTATATTTGCGAGCTCATAGTATGTGTGTCAATGTACATGGAGTACAGCGTGCATTGAAACGCTCAATTAATGTCATCCGACATATGTCAAAATTCAATAACATAAAACAAGATGTCAAGTGGACTATTTCGTACAGATTTCGTGTTGTTTATTTCCAATGTGTGATGTTATAATGACATAAAGATACAAGAATGTTCAAGCAGATTCACTATTTCGGATTGCTTCTTTTTATATTATCAGTTATATATGTGGCTAGGTCAGTTTTGAGACATTTATTTGACGACGAAAGCTCGCAAGTGGATGAGTGGCTCGATCAAAATGATCTTGGAGACTACAAGAAGTTATTCAAGGAATATGGTAAGATATTGATATTCTAATATAATCCTTTGTATTTGACATGCTTACAATTTTTTTAATTCAATAAATAAAGAGAAACAACAATCATAAAACATGCAGACAGAGAACCTGTTTGGATAATAAATTAAGATATTGCAAGGAATGTTTTCTGTATGATTTAATTAAATAAATAATCTGTTACTTGAAATAAAATTTTCCCCTAACTAGGAAAGAGAGTTCATTTACTGTTGTAATTGTTGGTGACACTGTGGGTTGTGCACTGAAATTATAATCTACAAGTCTTTGATAAGATGTCCATCGTGTACTGATGTGTATTAACTAAGGCCTAACATCCTTAATTTACAATTTAGTAAAGATCTCCAGTTGTGATTTAAATGAGGTGTTAATAAACTTTTTTATTTACTTTCTTAATTTTTTTATTTGAAATGTATTAAGCAATTTGTTTCAGATTTATCAATTTGCCTTGAATTTAGATTTTTTTTTGCCTATAGGTAATACCAATTTCAAAGTTGTTTTGTTTCCTGTTCAAAGGTTTGTCATGATCCCAGGGATGAAGTCAATAACTTTTTTTTTATTTGTACGGTGTTTAACAATTTAACATTGAATTGATATTAAAATATGATTTCACAATAAAATGTGTTTGTAATTATGTACAGATGTAAAACTCTTGTTGGAATTATCATAAGAAATATAGTCAAAGCAGAATACATTTTTAAAATAATTAATGAAAATCAAAGAAACTGACAAAACATTTATTTATATATAAAATTCTCCTGTCACAATGTTAGTTATCATACTCCTCTGAAATGACTTGACCTATTTTTATAAATAATATGAAATTTTATATGTATGTTTAGTAGGCCTGGGAATCATCTACTATCTATTAATTTATATAAATGTTGTATATGTCAACATATTCCAATTTTTTTTCCTTAAATCATTGATTATTAACGAACAAAAATAATATTATCAACTTTGTGGTTTCAACCAAAAAAATCACTGAATAGCTATATAATTTCATTAATTTCCATTCAAAAAGACGGGACAAGATGAAGGGATACGTTGGATTTCAATTCAGTAACCCGTGACGTCACGATCCGCCTCCCACCCTTCGAATAAAAACAAAGTAGAAGGGGGTGCGCTTCAACCCCAACCCCGATCAGCCAGTCGCGCCGCTGTCACCGCGCCGCGCGGACGTGTCCGCTACATCTGAGTTCCTTATTACAATGCTCGTGGTCACATTTCATGTAATAAATGATATATAGATTATACAACAAGCTATTGTAATACTTAAAAAATTAAGGACTTTGAAAATAAGTACGACTTTCATTCAAGAAGGAATTGATCAAATTCTGAAATCCGCAGCGACGGATGATTCCATTTGGGTTAAAGCATTGATTGGATATACCTCAGTTCTCTGTTTGCGAAATCTGACGAAAATCCAAATATAAAGATGTGGCAGTTCGAGGACTCGGAGATATGTTCCATCGGCATGATCCATCCCTCCCACAGTCGGAACTCCGGCCTCTCCATGTTGTCCGGTGTCTCACAATTTTCAGGTATTTTATTGTAATTATAACTATTTCTAACTTTTTAAAATTTAAAGCTGAATTATAAAAAAATGTCAAAACGTCTTGGGAATAATATGCACGAAAATTGTCACTGTACTCGTAAAAATTCTTTGCTAAGTGACTATCGACTTTGTTGATTTGTTATTAATAAAAACTTACTTTTGATTGGAGATTTTTGCAACTATTACAACACTGCAATAGCTAATGAACAAGAATACCAAAGAAACTGTAGCCAACCGTCTTCATCACCAATGATGATAAAACATCGTCATGAAACAAAACTTGTCTTCTGGACACTGGTCCTTCGAGCATGTCACGATGAGATTGATAATGTTCACACAATTGTCAAAATCTTAAATACCATATTACATGACACGCCTGAGTATCCTTTATCTGTCCAATAAGTATAAAATCTGACAACAATGTACCGCGCTCTTTTTTAATTTAGTAATTTTACGATCATTATAATTTTATCAGTTATAACGCAAACGTTTTCATTTCGAGAGTGCAACTTGCCCTAATGATCAGCAAAATAAGAAGGCACTTTAAGGCGAATTATATGCAAAATTCCTTGCACTTTTTTACAGTATCGAGTGGTACTTAAAACGGTAAATGCCTATTAACTCATTTAATCTTCCGTTAAATCTAACAGACAATTCTTGACAGACATTATCACACGCAAAAATAAGGTAAATTGCAGTAATACCTATAAACTTTTGTTGGTATGTTTGGCTCTGCATTTTGAGATCAACAACAACAAACATATATAAATGCAACGTCACCGACACATCAGTGACAAGTATGCGCGCAAATGATATTTATTGTTTTACGTCGAGGTGTGGAGATATTTAAATTCTATTTTACTCAATGCGTATTGATAAAAGAGAAATTTCTTAATACATTAATGCAGCTGACAGCTTTTTTAATGTTTTCATTACAGTATCGTTCTACCTTATCATGCTACAAGCTAAGAGGTAGATTACTTTAACACTCTTAACTCTTTAACATCTCTTACTAACGATCTGTTTCATCATAGTACACACAAAGAGAGATATAAAGCGTCGGTGGCACTCTTGTTAAGCACTCGACTGGACCGGACCGCAATCTACACGTCTAATTTCGATCCCTGGTATATAGCAATGTGTTTATCGATTTATGAATTTCATATGTATCTGATGGTCTTACGGCAAAGGAAAACGTTATGCCACATATGTACGAAGAAAGAATGTGTGAAGTTAATCTATTCTCATTAGACCAACGTCACGTCTATGGCGTAGTCACCCTGGGGCCTATTGGGTAGGCTCCGAGTCCCTCGCCGGATACTTTTATGAGCTACTATATTAACACAATCTAAAACTGCCAGCTTCAAAACAAAAAGAATTTATCCTCTTACATAAAAATGAGAATATAATATGATAACAAAAAATGTAAGACCGAACCGCAACTTTAAAATGGTTATACTTTCCATTTTTACGTCCAATAGTTTCATTTAAGACTCTTGGCCTGCTCTAGATATTTTTTTCAGATCTTTTGCTAATACTCAATGTAGATGTAGAGACTCGGTGCACGGCGGGGTGGGGCGTGGGGGGGTCTCTATGATTTACAACTCTGTCGACAGTCTCCTTATGGAGCACAGACGATGAGATTTAACATTTTTTTCTTATTTTCTTACTACATTTTTTAGTCATTATTAGTTAGCATCCTTTGGCGCGAATTACGTGCTTTAGTTATAAAGTCCAGTGTCAGAATAAACAGTGAGGGGACATAAACGTCAAGATTTTAGTAAGGCTAGTGTTGCGTCAATACAGTGGCTCATTTTCGGATTAACTTCCTAACAGTTACTTATATTTCGATGTCTTTCGTATATTACAACAATCTGTCTCTGGCATCAGTCAATTATAAATTTCAAGTTCAAGTTGTTTATTTATAAATTTCAAGTTAAGGATATTTTAGACAGTGGTAGAGCCCGCTTTAACATCTTCGCACGTATCGGCCAGGTTCGCCCGGTGAAATACCACGACCACACAGAAGAAAGGCGTGAAGTGGAAGCAATTCCGCGTTTCGTCTGATGAGTGTGCGTCCCAGAGGCCTAATTTAGTCCTCTTTCTCTTGTCACCCTTTTTCTCATAAGGAAAGGATGGGAAGTGGAAGTGGACTTTCCGGATGAGAGGATGCATGGAAGGGGAAAATATTTTCTTTGTGTGCATCCTCTCCTCCGTCGATTAAAGGTAGGCAACGCATATGCAATTGCGTATGTCTATGAGCAACGGTCACTTCGCTATTCAGCGATTTCAGATGGCCGCTTGCTCGTTTGCCGCCTTATGATAAAAAAAAAAGATTAAGTTAATTGAAATACTTTATTCTTTGTACGCTGACATCAAAGAACAATTGTGCGAATACAAAGTTTGTAGGAAGTCTGCGAACGATACTCTTTGAGAGAAGAGAAAGTCTAAAGCAAACGACAACAAAAGACTTGCATGTTTGTAGTCAGCTTAATTAACGCTACCCACATAAAATGGTTGAGGAGTTTGAACTAAAGTTTGCGCGCCATCTCTCCACAGAGTATCCTCTTTTCAATTAAACTCGCCATCTTTGATTAATACAATTGTTAATGTGGGGCCGACTTATTATGTATTTATAATGAATGTTTCGTTCTAATCTTTTACACTTTGATGGTCTCGATTCCTGTGCCAAAACTTTGTAACATTCGAAGTCAAATCTTGCTAAATATTTCAGTGATCTACACAAAAATGTATCCATTTTTGCCTTTAGCGCTATTGTTTTACAAATAAATGGAACATAATTAGATTTTTTAAACTCAAATGACAGTTGGCAACTTGAATATAAATGGATATTTTGTGTCTTATTTTAAACAGTAACAATCAAGAACTCCCATTGTTATATGATAACTAAGCTATTTGCAAATTATAAAGGGGTTTTCATTAAGAGCAGGCTGTGGGGCGGAGCGCCCGGGCCGGGGGCTCCAGCGGCGGGGCGCGGCGCGGCAGGTTCGCGCGGTCGTCGGCACACTTCCGCGTCCTAATTCACTCGGCAACAGGTGACCGGGACTACATCTGGTCACATTCATGTAATTCCAATATTACCATAAACTTAATTTTGTTATTCGGACAAAATCGACAAATTTTCCCATAACTTTTAGCTACTATAACGCCTTGAAGGTTACTCTTTAACTTTACAACTTTACAACAAAATTAATCTTTTAAATGTGAATTATTTAATTTTACATCATATATTTCGACGTCTATGCTATTTGTCTGCTTCAAATGTTTTCTAAAAAAGATGATCATTTGTATTATAACTGGCGGGTAAACTCGCTAATTAGCCTTATTAATAAACTAACATTAACTACTGAGGTTAACTATTTCGTAACAAATCTCCACAAAAGTTCAGTTTACGTCTCCAAGTACAAACAAGCAAAACTTTGTCTTAACTAAAACTAACGTCATTCGTTAAACAAATAAGTTGCGAACTCTTCTAACAAGTACAAAGATAAACATTAGGACGACACGCTGAGGTCCTTAAAGAAATACTTTTTTTCCTTAATAATTAAAAAACTTTGAAGGAATTGAGAAGTACTGGGAAAAGATCTTGTTGAAGTAATATGTTCCTACCTTTGTTAAATAAAGTACCTGGATGACCGAACTTTGCTCGGTATTTTTTTTTTTAAATTCTGTTTTTTGGAAATTATGTTTACGTACGAAATACTAATAAGATGATGAAATATGAATAATATTTTTCGATCTTACCGATAGAAAAAGTTAAGTTTATGTTTAAGTTGATTATCGATAAAACACGAATAAAATGACATTTTCTAAAAATGATGATTCCTAGCTAGATCGATTTATCGCCCCCGAAACTCCCTATATACTACATTTTATGAAAATCGTTGGAGCCGATTCCGAGATTCCAATTATATATATACAAGAATTGCTCATTTAAAGATTTAGAAGAATCCAAAATAAGGTAAACTAGCAGAATCCTTTGTGTAACAAATTTTGACAGTCCAGACTTGGTATGGACCCAAGGGGTCCATGGAAAACCTGAGAAAAGTTAAAGGAACAATTTTTAAGTGGTCTACCCGATAGTTAGCGAATCTCGGTATACGGGTGTATGTGATGTGGCACAACCCTAAATTCACGTGCCGATATTAATTAAAGCTGGATGTCGACTCTCAAGTGTAGAGGTCGCGACGCACCGGGAGTGAGAGGTGCTCATGCCGCAGCCCCACCGCCGCTCAAACCCCAAACGAGACGCCTGTCACTGAATGCTGGCCCATTTATTTAAAATGCGATAGGTCACGTGCTAAATGTCAATGTGGTTAAAACATTTTTAACTGGATTTAAATAAAGCAGAGTCGTTGTGAATAAAAAATATTGTGTTTTATGTAAGTTTATGAGCTCATTTTCGATCTCTAGAAATTACGTAATGGGTGGTATGAAAATCGACTGAATGAATATGAATATAATTTCGATAGTTCTAAATTTAATCTGGAATGTTCTGCGCCATAATTATTGCTGGAAATAAGAGGCTGCTAATTCTTGTTTGCAATATCGAGCTGCATGCAGTATTTGCTGAGCTGGGACGCTTTGTACATAAGTTGCGGTTAGTGGGTGCGGGCAGCTGCTGGAAGTGACCTGAATTCAATCACTTCTCTTTACGAGCTCTTATGTTGAATATCAATTACTATACGTAGTACATCGATATACATTTTTTAAACAATACAAATACTCACAATACAATGCCAATTACCAATTACTAGTACGTTCTTAAAAATTCGTAGCAACGAAGAACCTCTACACTTTTTTGAATATTAATAATGAATATTTGATTTCTTTTGTTAGGGAAACGATAAGGAACATACTTGATTAAAACGTAAATGTACTTTGCCTGAATTCTGATCTGATGATGAATTATGTATTATAAAACACTTTCGTTTATTTTTGACAACAGAGATCTACCGTTTACTGACTAACCCCGCGTGATATACCACTTACAAATATATTGAAATCTTAATAATTATTTTATTCAGTAATTCATAAACTGTACAATTATTTTTAAAACATGTAAGCATTGCGTCTGGGAATTTTCGCTACGTTATGTTTTACGTTGCCTTGCTATAAACAATTGGACAAACAGTTGGGACTTGCGATCGACCGTTTGGCCACATGTCTAACATCTTATTTAGTAATAATTTAATAAAATCTGCAAGAATATAAGGTTAAATGCGTGGTGGTCATCACTCAACGTTAATGGAGTTGCTGGTTGCAACAAGTATAATGAAGTTCTTGGAAAATGTTTTTATAATAGCTTTTATGTTCCATATCATTAAGTTGTTCAAGACACTTCAAGGTCAAAGCAGTCGTCTCCTAAGCAACAGGCGAACAACAAACTAGCTTACGTGTTTGTGCCATGAAACAGCATTTCATGTAAATGTTTCACAAACATCGGTGTAACTTAATTATTCCAAAGGGAATTATATATTTAATTTATAACCTTGTTAACATAAGAAGTGACGCAATTGAATACATAATATAAATATTTTCCTGAAAATGTAGATATATATTATCTATTGTGTCATCCGAAATAGTGTGGGTCGCGTGCGACACGAAAGCTTCCGTTACCAGACTAGTTTCGCCTATCGCCAAACTTTAGCACCATTAAAACGACTGGGCCAAGCTTGTATATAACTATATGTTTAAACCATTATCTTCTGACTAGAAATATTTAGCACACAGATTGATAAACTGTCTCATGCAATCAGCATACGATTTTTATTACAAAAAATATATTATTGTCCATTATCACTTCAAAATCAAAACAACATCACAAGGTATGTACATGTAGCTATAGCATGTAATTATCCTATTGGATAAATGTTTAATGGAGCAAAGGAAGGTGCGCCCGAAAACATCCCTAATGGTCCCGCAATTTGAAACTAAGCTTAATGTTGCTTACAATTATTTATAGCAGTTATATTTCACCTAATAAAGATAAAGGTTTCTCTGGAGCGATCTATCTATATATTATATATAAATTATTGCTGTTAGTCTCGCCAAAACTCGAGAACGGCTGAACGGATTTATATTGTCTTGGTCTTGAAATGTCCGTGGAGGTCTAGCGAAAGTTTGAAAGTTGAGAAAAATTCGAATATTTGCAAGACACCGTTTACGAACAGCGTGGACAGAATCTCGGGCGACAGCTAGTTACGATATAATTATATTGAAGGAAAAGATAATTATCTAGTTGGTTCAAAAAGAACTATATAATGTTAAGACTAGAAGTTTATATTTAGTAAGTGTAAATACGAACATACTGTTTATATAATTTGCCGCAGCGTGTTAAACAATCACAAATAAGAAATATATGAAAAATTTAAGGCTCCAACTCATAAATATCACATATGTCTGCAATATATCAACGAATATTCTATTCTTTCTTGTCGTTTACATAACTGAAGTGATTCAGGAAATTAATGGGGATTTAAATAAAGCAATCGATTTAGTATATGAATGATTAATAGTGTTACCATTTTGTGCTTGTGCACTATTAAAAAACTATTATATTCTAAAGGTCAACTAAATAAATGGTAATAAGTGTGCTATAAAGGCGAGGTCAGAGTGGTTGCTTAGCAACGTACAGGCAACAAATACAGCCAACCGTGGTACTAATTGTAACAAATTGTTAGAGAAACATCGTAAGTTGCTGTAACAATTACATTAACATCCAATATATAGTGTCTAGTAATTACTAAACATCACCTAACATAACAGTCTACATTAAATACGCTGAATTATGTAATAAAAGCGTCAGTGGGTCAGAAGAGCGTCGGTCTGGGGTTCGAATCCCGCTACTTACGAATGTAGTTTTCAATTTTCGATTTATACGCGACGTTCTTATGGCTAAGGAGAACATCATGATGCAACCTGCACATATCTGCAAACAAATAAAACATTAAAAGACATGTGTGAAGTCAATCAACCCGCACCCGGCCAGCATGCCAGAGGTTGACTATGGCCTAGTCACTCCAAACTTATGGTAGGCTCCGAACCCCTCGGTGGGACTGTAAATTGAGCTCATGATGATGTTATAACATAGTTTCAAAACTTATTTTGTTATTTAACGCTCATTGTCCTCTTAGATTCAATCCTAACTTTGCACATGTAACACGATTTAGTAATTGGTAATACTTCAGGTGGTAGCCAACTGAGACTTTTTATAGCGATCTAAATGCAAAACAAATGCAATTGTTCAATTGGCACAGTTCGTTGTTGTAATCAAGACTTGCGTCGCTATCCTACGGCGTAGCACTTTACAGCGTAACGTGGCCATTATTGCCCCGTCAGACTATGTGCTACGAAGTTATGTTAGCTGTTTATGTTTAGTAGTGGCTGGACGCGCTCTAAAACTTGAGAACTTATGCTTATTTCACACAATAGGAAAGCAATTGTTCTACAGTCTATTGTTCAGCCTCCTAGTTACTGAAAAAACTCTTGAGTCGTGTGAAACTAATTAGAGTTGGTGTGTGTGTGAACAGGTATATCGACGCTGTCGGGTTGCGGCAGCCCGGAGGCGCTGGAGCGGCTGCCGGAGATGCCGGCGGCGGAGGAGCGGCGGCTGCGGCGCGCGGCGCTGCTGCTGCAACAGCGACTCGTGCTGCGCCAGTGGCTCGTCACCCACCGACTGCAGCACGCGTACTCCAAGTCAGTAACACAACAGACACATAAAATTACACTATATAAACACACGATATAATTACAGCTTGGCAGTAGTACACTAACAAAGTTTATAAATTATGTATAATATAATAACAAAATAAATGTACGAGTACATTAATCATTATTTACAAATATTTATTATTTATCAGTTGGGCGAAGTTAACTACATTTATAATGCAGAAGGTTTTCGATGTTACAGTACAATTTGTAATATTATTTCCACCCTATATTATTGCAAGGTTGCCGGCACTGAAAATGAAAATTTGAGATTTGAGATAGTCCGCGTTCGAACATTGGCTCTGACAGAATTAGCTCAGTGCTTGTCCTTGGGTGCAGTCAAGGTTACGTGTTCGTTACAAGATACATATATTGGCGGAGAATGAAGATATCTTATGAATAAATTTACGGCAACTTGACATATTATTCTGAACACAAGAAAATGGAAATGATTTATTCCATTTTATTTAAGTTTCCACCAGTTAATGTCAATATTTTATCATAAAGTATAACAAAACTGAAGTGTTGTGACTAATTAATTTCTATGTTTACAGGCTACAATGATTACTTATATTACAAAATTGATTTATAAAATAAAAGTATGTTACATGACTTGAATTTTATTGCTTGTTGTGTCTATTTGTTAGCAGACGTTCAGTTGAAAAGTTTTGCATGTTTTCAATAAAAGCACAAACTGCAGCGAAACTCAAATTGTCGGGAATTTCGATTGAATTTATTCAATACTTCACATCTGCTTTCAAATTTTATGTATTCCAAATATTTATCTATTGCAAAACTTTGAAAACTCCAATTATATAAGAACTTTTGTAGTTGTTACGTTGTAGTGATACACTCATTTAATTTGTGGCCCAGTGCAGGTTCAACTAAGTGTGTCCTAAGTGTTACGTTTCACGAAACTATCCTAAAGGACTGCTTGTGCGTTCATTCACCATCCCTGAGTACGCCACAAAGACTTAGATAATAAATGCGATATGTTTACATAACACAGGTTTGAGATGTTCCTGGCATGCGTTGAGATGATAGTCTCCTGCTCCCCGCAATGCGTCAACTTTCACCTTTCTATGTCCTAGGATATTGGTTAAATCTAGACGCACGTAAATGTCAACTTTTTGTAGTGCTAAACAAAAATTAAATAAAAAATTTAAAGAAGAAGTAGCGGGAAACAGAAATTATTTATCTGTGTGTAAATATGTTTTTTATTTGTTTATTGAATTCGTAAAAGTTGCGTGATCATGTCAGTTTGCTGAAGGAGGAAATACCTTTTACATTACACCTTTTTCGCATACACTACACTATTAAAGACAGGAATGACACCAAAGCCTATAGGAAGGTAAACAGAGACTATTTGCGTCGTATCGGTAAAGAAGAAATCTTTAATAACTTTAGTAAGCGAATTAAATCGCCTACTAAAACCGTTCCCGAATTTGAATCCTTCTATTACACATCTCGTATCTCCTAGGTCAGTACTATTTAAACAATGATGATACTGTTCTGCCTTCGTGTGAGACTACCATAACAGCGAGCGAACAGCAAATGTGCCCCCTCCCATTGCCCTCACCAACAGAGAATGCTGGCTACACAATTGTGCTCAATACAACCTCACAACAATGTCACAACGACATTGTAATCTCGCTAAACGACGGGGGCAGATGACGTCACTCGTTATTACAAAAGAATCTTTGAATCTCATATTTGATAATACAGTAACACAAAGCGGTTTAAAAATGAAAGCCACATGAAATAAAATACAAGTTGCCTCTTCGTCGTGATCGATTAATTATATACATTTTTTTATTAATTTGATTCGACATAAAATGCAATATCTTGTGGAATAATTCGTAAATATAAAATGACTCGTGTAGGTACACGAGTCTAGGTGTGAATATAAAATGAATGGTGGCATCAGTCAGCATAGCAAAGGTTTATTCAAATCGGTGAATTTATGCAGGTCTTTTCCCGCGAATCTCAATCGGCGCTCCGGGAACTCCCGCCATCTGTCGACGATTCTTGTCTTCATTTTGCATAATCTCATAATTACCAGAAATGTTAATGAAATTGTCAAAAAATTAAGATAACAAAATCTTCTACCGCCCCCAAGAGTAATTTAATGCTCTATTCCAAACTGATAATAGGATTTAGAACAAACTAGCTGTCGCCCGCGACTCCGTCCGCGTGGTAAAAAAAAGCCTTTGTGTGTTTTCAAACCATATCCTACGTCTATGCCAAATTTCAGCCGCATCTGTTCAGCCGTTCTGGAGATACCTTAAACTAAAATCCACCCATCTAAACATTTGCATTTATAATATAATATAGTAAGTACACGAAGTAAGATTAGTAACATTATTAAAATTAATATCTTTTGCAAACATACAGAACCCTTTAGCCGTTCTAAAGTTAAATATTAATAAATATTAGTAAGATGTTACGAGTGCATTTTGTTCTCCGTGTTGTCTCGTTTCTCGCATTTCCTTGGCGCTTTGTGAGGACAGAGGCGGACTGGGCTCGAGGCTCGAGTGCCTTTGTCCTCGCTCAGTCGCTGGGCGCCCACAGCCGCGCACACTACTCACGTATTCAAATTGGATAAAGCTGTCCATACACGATGCGACACAATGATGCGGTCGATCTGATTTCGTTTTCACTAATTGTGGTTTTAGCAATTTGTGGTTGGAACTATAAAATGAACACTAAGTAGTTTATTATAAGTCTTGTAGATCGTGTCAAAGAAAAATATATCATTGGAAGATAACCTTATTTTAGATTGTACTTCTTGATAGTTATTATATTTTATTTTCGTAGTACCGGTTATTACAAGCCTTTGTTTAATTTCACCAGTGATGATGATGAAATTGAATAGATTGTTTTATGCTATGTTTTTAATGACGATACTTTTTTTTTAATCAGAAAGCGGCAAACGAGCGAGCGGCCACCTGAAATCGCTGAAATAGCGAAGTGACCGTTGCCCATAGACATACGCAATTGCATATGCGTTGCCTACCTTTAATCGACGGAGGAGAGGATGCACAGAAAGAAAATATATTCCCTTTCCATGCATCCTCTGAACCGGAAAGTCCACTTCCACTTCCCATCCTTTCCTTATAAGAAAAGGGTGGGAAGGGAAAGAGGACTAAATTAGGCCTCCAGGACGCACACTCATTAGACGAAACGCGGAATTTCTTCCACTTCACGCCTGTTTTCTGTGTGGTCGTGGTATTTCACCGGGCGAACCTGGCCAATTCGTGCGAAGATGTTAAAGCGGGCTCTACCACTCTACTTTTGAATGTCTTTGAAGTACGTAGAATTAATCTAAACACTAACATAAAAACAAACCAAAGAACATTTAGATAATTAAAAAAGAAAAAAAAACATTTCGACTTTACTGAAATTTAATGAAAATGACCAAACCTCCACATTGGCCGGTTGTAACGTTCCACTGGGGATGTCCTCTGGGAAACAGTTGACGCCGATTTCACCTATATACATACATACATATAGGGTTATATTCATTGCAATACATAAGCTTGGAAGGTCAGTAAAAATTAATTAATTCGCTTCACAATTTTGTTATTTAAAATACATACGTTTTTGTTAATTTAGGGAGGATTATAAAATTTTGTAAAAGGATTCCTTTACTTACAGTTTCTAGCACGCACAGTGTCAGTAAAACGAAATTTAATTCCACGAATAATCAGTATGAAATTGATACATTTTTATTAAATAATTCCTAGTTTTTATTTTCGATACAAATTATTCTGAAGTAGTGACGTCACGAGCGTAGCAAGCTAGAGGTGTTCATTAATTCTTATCGTTTGCGTTAGGAAAATGAATTTTCTTTGTAATTTTATGACAGATATGTTGGGGATTAATGTAAATAGAAAATATGAAAAAATAAACAGATTCACTTAAGTTGTTTTCTACAGATCTGACTCGGAAAAATCATTGAATTCTAATTTTAAGATTGTGTAAAAACAGTAAAGTTATTTCTGATTGATCGGTTCGTGTATGGGAAACTTTATGCTTTGTTTGCAAAGGGAAGGGTGTGACAAAGACTCTCCAGCCTCGGCCGCGGTAACCTGAGTCTGCGTGCTATGCAACATGCAAGTTAAAAAAAACAAACATTAAAGGGAATGCGAAATGTTACATTTTAATTGTTAGCTGGAAATTCTTTAAAAAATATTTCTACGATTTTTAGTTAAAACTAAAATGGAACTATGTTATTTATACCATTGGGTTGTGCTTAAGAGTTGTCCGCTTTTCCTCCTACACCAGTCAGACACAACAATCGATGGGTTTTTAGACATTATACACCTAAACTACATCATGACATTTGACGGCGACATGGATATAAAGTTACAAAAGAGAGAGAGAGAGTCCTTTCATTGTGTCTTCATGTTGCTGCAGGTTGCTCAGTCTGGACGTGTGTTCGTTGGAGGATGTGTACTGGCTGGAGGACTCCACAGCGCGCCACGTCATCGACGCTAAGGACTTCAGCGCATGGTGCGCGGCGCGCCAAAGCTTGCCCACTGGCAAGGAGGCTCTGATCAGCCTCAAGGCCGACCTTTGGAGCACTGTTGTAAAGAATAGCAAGCATCAGGACGCTTGGACATGGGGTGAGAAGATTTATTACGTTATAGATTAGTACTAATTACGACACGAGAACGAATCATAAAATGGGGGTTTCAAATGGTTTGGATCCATTCTATTCGATGTCGGCATACGCTGACGGTGTGTCGGTATCGGTGTGATGGTGTGGGTGTGCCGACAGGCGGCATGCTAGTGGTGTCGGTGTCGGTGTGCGGGCTGGTGACGCTGGCGGCGATGACGCAGCCCTCGCTGGCGCCCGAGGCCAAGCACTCGCTGCTGCAGTACGTCACCGGGAAGTACCTGCACCCGCCCAGCTGCAAGGTACGCATTTACTGCACGTGTGGATATCATTATTAACACTTATAATATAAACGATCGCACGTACAACAAGGAAAAATTCAACAAAATTTATCACAAAATCTTCCTGTATTCGATTTCTTTTGAATTTGTATATATTACTACACTATTTGTACACATAATATATTGTTTCTACAATATATTATGTGGTAGATATTAATTGTGATTGTGTGTGTGGTGACGTTTGCAGGTGGAGTGGGGGTGGCAGGAGCCGCAGCCGGTGGGCGAGACCATGTGCTTCACGGTGCTGTGCTACCAGCGCAACGGACACCCCTACCCCGTGTGCGACACCGACCAGCTCGTCGTCAACATCACGCACGGCACCAGGAAGGTACCACCTACACTTCTACATAGCATACGCATGTTCTTATTTATGTGTGTGTGAGTTGTCACGACGTGGCTGCAGATATCGGCGGTGCTGGAGCTGGGCTCGGGCGACCCGGCGCAGGCGCACACCGCACGCGTCAAGTTCACCGTGCGCACCGCCGGACTCTACATCATATCCATCATGATCGGTAAATTATTATTTAATTAATTACATCTTTTTAGAATAATGATATTTTTGGATTGCATATTATAGAGTGGTTATGTGGCAGGGGGTGCGCACGCGGCGGGGGGTCCGTTCCGCAAGTGGTTCGCGGCGGGTCGTCCGGCGGCGCGGCGGTCGCGGGTGGGGCGCGCGCCCGCCGCGCTCGTGTGCACTGCGGGCCGCCCGCGCCAGCTGCACGTGCACCCGCGGGACCAGTTCGACAACCCGGCGCCGCTCGCCACCGTAACCATCACACATAAGCATGCGTTACTTAGGCATTCGACGACCGCTTTTGTAATATTTGTTGCCACGTGCACCGGCAGGGCTTCTCTATCGAGATAAAGTCGGTGAGCGGCGAGGTTGACGAGAAGCTGTCGTCGGGCGCGGCGTTCGAGTACGACTCGGTGAACCAGCGCGCGGCGGTCGAGCTGTGCTTCCCCGAGCCCGGCGTCTACCGCGCCGCCATCTACTACGACGGCGCGCTGCTGCACAACGGGGAGTTCGACTGCATCGTGCTCACAGGTCCGTGCTATAGGGCTATATCCGTGCCCTGTCGCCGCGCTGGCGGCATCCGTGCCTGTGCTGTGACGTCACTGACGTGTGGTGCGCGTGCGCAGCGAGCGAGGCGGCGACGGTGCAGCGCGCGGTGTGCGGCCGCCGCGCGCAGGCTAGCTTCGAGGCGCGCCTGCTGGGCCCCGCGCGGCCCCGCAAGCTGCTGCTGCTGCTCAACAACAAGCACCTCATGCTCAAGGACTACGTGCTCAAGTTCATACCCAAGCGCGTCACCACCTACAGACTCTGCCCCTCCACTAAGGTTAGAGTCACAAAGATCTAATGTGAATTGAGACCAACGTGTGACATGAAGAAGCTTATCAGTGCACCTATTGTGTTAGCTGACGCTGCTCCCGCGGAGCGGGGCTGGCCCGGGCGGGGAGTTCACGCTGGAGGACGGGGCGCAGGCGGTGCGGCTGTACGCGCCGCAACGCGACCTGCTCGCCGCCGCCTTCACGCAGCTCCTCATCGCCAACTGCGGCGGAGAGGACTCCTTCAAGGTGCACGCGCACACATACATACATACATACATTCGAAATGTATCATGTGGCTCTTATTGCATGTTTAACCTTTTGTGATTCAGAACAAGCAGGAGTTCTTCTACAGCGAGATGCGCAAGGCGCACGCTCGACACCCGCATGACAAGCTGCCGCTGCGCGTGGTGCGCGCCGAGCTGGTGCGCAGCAGCCTGCGCGCCACCCGTCACTTCACCGTCGCCGACTGGTGCCGCAACTTCGACATCACCTTCCAGGGCGAGCAGGGTCAGCCCTCATTGTATCCATTGTATCATCTAATCCTTACACAGAATTCTGTATTCATGTGTCTCTGTGTTTGCGTTGCAGGTGTGGACTGGGGCGGCGTGCGGCGTGAGTGGTTCTCGCTGGTGTGCGCGCAGCTGTTCGACCCGCGCTTTGGACTCTTCGTGCCCTTCCGCGACTCCCCCACCGCCCTCGTGCACCCCAACCCGCAGCGCCCGCCGCACNNNNCCCCCCCCCCCACACATACACATACCGCCCACCAATCTCGTGACACCGCCCTTTTGCATTTAATGAATGCTTTAAAATAAAGCAAGATAATGAATGCTATATATATATTTTTTCCAGTTGAAGCACTTCGAGCTGGCGGGCAAGCTGGTGGGCAAGTGCCTGTACGAGTCTGCGCTGGGCGGGTCGCACCGGCAGCTGGTGCGGGCGCGCCTCACGCGCTCCTTCCTCGCGCAGATCATCGGCCTGCGCGTGCACTACAAGGTAAATACGGGACCCACTGCAGTAGAGGCACTCTGCAGCGGGCGCCGTAGTGACGCGTACGTTGTGTTGCAGTACTTCGAGCAGGACGACCCGGAGCTGTACCTCTCCAAGATCAAGTACGTGCTGGAGACGGACCTGGACGCGGAGGACGCGCTGGAGCTCACCTTCTCCGAGGACGTGTACGACGCCTCCGGCCGCCTGCTGAACACCACCGACCTCGTGCCCAACGGCTCCACCATTAAGGTCCGCGCGTCAATGGGGAACATTTGGCGCAGATAGAGAGGTGGTGAGACGGATGCATTAATCTGAACGTGGCGGGATGCAGGTGAGCAACGCGAGCAAACTGCAGTACCTGGAGGCGCTGGCGCAGTGGCGGCTGGCGGCGCGCGTGCGGCGCGAGGTGGCCGCCTTCCTGCGCGGCCTGGCGCTGCTCGTGCCCACCAACCTGCTCGCCATCTTCGACGAGAACGAGCTCGAGGTAGAGTGCGCTCCGTGGGGCCGACTCGGCCATGTGGTGAGGTGTGGGGAGGTGTGGTGACGTGTGGTGGTGCGCAGCTGCTGGTGTGCGGCACGGGCGAGGTGTGCGTGGCGGACTGGCGGGCGCACGCGCTGGTGGCGGGCAGCGGGCGCGCGTGGGAGCGGCTGCTGGGCTGGTTCTGGGCCGCGCTCGCCAACTTCAGCGGCGAGGAGCGCGCGCGCCTGCTGCAGTTCACCACCGGCTGCTCGCAGCTGCCGCCCGGCGGCTTCCAGGTGGGTACCACACCTGTGAAGTGCCCCCTGCCGAGTGCGATAGCTAATGGCCGCAACTGTGTTCCCGGTGCTGCAGGAGCTGAACCCGCGGTTCCAGATAACGGCGGCGCCGACGTTCGGTGCGCTGCCGACTGCGCACACCTGCTTCAACCAGTTGTGCCTCCCGGATTACGACAGCTACGAGCAGCTGGTGCACGCGCTGCTGTGGGCCATCAACGAGGGCGGCGAGGGCTTCGGCATGATATAAGCGACCCCGCCCCTACCCCACAGGTATTACAACTACACGCCCCGGGAGCCCAGGGTCTCCCCGGGTCTGTGTCGACCATGAATAAAACCTGTAAATATTTAAATGGTTGTGTCTTCGTAAAATAATATCATTATACTTGTAATTGTGACACAACGGATAAATGAAATCTCTTTCAGTAATAGGAAGAATATTGCAACACATTTGGGTAAGCCGAAGTATATTGAAGTAAATCAAATAAAAAAGACGTTAGTCAACATTTTACCTTACTACATTTTTAGTTTAATTTTATGTACATATATATTTATTTTTGCTTTAGACAATAAGTTTTATCTGTCTATAATATTTTTATTTGTATTCAATGCAATTTGTTTTAAAGCAAAACTGCCTAAGTAACTGAGTACTAGGTGAATTGAATGTAAATATTTCGAGCGAGAGAGCTCGTAATTAAATAGATTTGCCTAATGTAATACATAAGGTTGTAAGTAAATAATATAAGATGTGACCGCTACAGGCTGCGATGCAATAATAAAACTGCCACGAATTCTTATTGTTAATATTAAATGTCCGTTCTAAATAATATTAACGATATACTCGTAGTTTACGTAGAATGCGGATGAAAAAATATTTTCTATTTATGTAGGAAGTTTATAGTGACAATTCTATAGCTGTTCAATGTACTTTAACCTAGTAACATTCCTTAGTTAGTCTGAAAAAGATTAAGGATCGTCTGACCCTGTGGTCTATCACGAAAATTTCATAATAAAGTATGTCAAAATGTGTATGTAATTTTTCGTTATACTTTACGCTCGATAGATGGCGCTGTACAAATATAAAACAAATGTCCATGGAATTACGAATGCTTGCACGTAAATTTTTCATACCCTAACCTAATGGGCTAATGGTTACTTGACTTATAGTTTTTAGTTGACTTCAATGACGGCTTTAAAATACGCAGTTTCTTGCGCGTGATTTACCTTAGAGCCTACTTTATAACTTTATATTCTGTACCTACGATGTAAGATGCCAGAGCTCTGGCCTAAATGCAATAACCTCAGTAATTTTATTTACATTAAAAAAAAAAAAAAATTAGTCAAGTTAATTTACATATTTTATTTTAGTAATGATATTTAAAATGTGTGTAAAATGTAATTTTACATTTGTTACTGTTAAAATTATTATAGATAATTATAAATTTAAGAAAACAATTATATTTATTTAAAATGTTTAGTTTTAGAAATTTTTTAGATGTAGTGAAAAGTACCAATGCGGTCTAGTCATATTTATTTGAATGTAATCGTCACACAGGTATTTAAAACATATGTACATTCAGTTAAGAGTTCACTGCCATAACTCCCGTAGAAAAACATATTCCTATTTCAGTTTCCGTATGAGTGCTTTGATAATGGAAACTAATAGATATTTGAAACTTTTTAAACATCGTACTAATCACTGCGCAGAACGCAATGTTAGGTGTAGCGGCGCGGGAGGAAGGCTCTACGCAGTTGGAAAAATCACCTGAAGCCCTCATGATATTTGACAAATACCATACTAAAGTTTACCCAGGCTATTGTTATTTTGTTCCGATCGATATTAAATGATCTGTAGATATTTGTGTAGAGAGAGTTTGTGAGTTTTAATGTACATATGTTAGATAAACAATTTATCTCAGCATGGCGATCCTCGGGTAACAGAAATCATTCCAAATGTTATTTTAATGTAGTCTGTTGATTAGCGTTGTAAGACTGAAAATAAAACAATGAACGTGAAACAATCTTTTTTTTTTCTCCCAAATGTCAATCGTGATCCCTTTTGGTTTTTTTTTTAATTAAGCAAAATGACATTATGTGCATTATAAGTAATGACCATAGACAATAATAAAAGATGTATTAGCAAGTAATCTTAATTTAGTTTTTTCCAATCGATTAATTAACTAATTCTCAAACCGAAATAAAACATGATTATTTAAATTAAAATGTATTTTGTACAACCCTTAAAATTACACTTAACGTGTGGAAATAAACTAGCAACAATACATTAAAAAATGTCCTAAACATTAGCTACAAAACTTAGGTATAACAATATATCTAAAATTACTTACCGTTTCATTTCCTAATTGATGTTAATATGAGCCACATAATGCAGATTAAAAATATTTTGGGCAAATCTATCAAATATGGCGCTAAATAAAACGTTCTGTTCCTATAATTGGGTAATGTCGGTGTTGCCATGTATAGTGGTGTGCCAGTCAGCAGTCAGCAGTCAGCAGTCAGCAGTCAGCAGCCGTGGCGCGCCGGCAGCAGCGACCAGATGAACACGTCGCGGAACGAGGACCGCCGCCGCAGCAAACACCGCGCGTACTGCGCCAATCTGAACAATGTTATAATATTTACTATTACACATAAAACAACTTCAAAATACATCTGATTTATGTATAATAATTGAAAAAAAATGTAGAAAGTGAATACCTGAGCAGTGGGTGCGGCAGCCAACGCGCGCGCGCCTCCACCAGCTGGCGGTCGCGCTGGGCCAGCTCCGCCTCGAGCCGCGCCCGCAACGCGCGCTGCTCCTCCGCACCACGGAGCACCAGCGCCAGCCGCGCCGCCAGCCGCAGCCGCATGCCGGAGCTGCGCAAACGCGCCCTAAACACACACATTATATTAAGAGAAACTGCTGTACATAGGTGAATACAATTAGATCAGTAGTTTTTACAGTTTCTCCGTTAGGGAAGAAGTTAATTGGTGATGCCAAAATGGCGACATATGAACAGATGGTATACTGACTGGTGCTCGGTGTGTATCTGTAGCGCGGCTGCGTCGAGCTCGCGCTGCTTGTCGGCCAGCTGGTCGCACAGCGCCGAGGCCTCCGTCTGCAGCGCGCCCAGCACCGCCTCGCGCCGCCGCACCTCGTCCTCCAGCCGCGACACCTGACACGCGCTCACTCAAACCTCTGTACATGTAACGAAGTGCTACTTAGTGCAGACTCAGGCCTCACCGACTGTGTAGCGACGTCGCGCTGGGCTGCGAGGTCCGCCTGGGCCGACAGCTGCAGCGCCAGCGCGCGCTCCAGCGCCCGCGCCGCCACGTTCGCCGCCTCCAGCTCGTTGCGGCAGTTGCGCCACCCTGTCCACCATCACGTTATCGAGGCCCATATGCCTACAGTCATGAGATATTCTCTTATAAAAGGAAATGTGTAAAAGTGTTACCGATGCTCATTTCGGAGGCGCGGTCCTCCGCCGCACTCACGTCGCCCTCTAGCGCCCGCTTCTCCTGTGGAATAAAATACCACTTCGTAGAAAACTAGACGGGTAGAGTAAATTGCGAATATAATATCTGTCCCCATAACGGTATCGCACCCTCTCGAGGAGGGCCTTCTCGGCTTCCCTGTCGTGCAGCAGCTGCTTGAGGCGCTGCAGCTCTTTGAGAGCCAGCCGCAGTTTACCGCTGTCCGCTTCCAGCAGCGACTTGAGCGCCCACACCTGCACGCGCAGCCGCTCGCTGCTGCTCACCTGCACAACGCTACGACTCTTACACTACAGCTGATTGTTTCTATTTAGAGATTTGGATTAGCGTTACAGGTAATTTTCTATCGTATTTATTCTAATTAATTGTGGGGCCATACACCTACTATAGTGATCGATAAGCAGGTAGAGCTCAAGGTCGCGCGCCCCTTGCATTACCAACCCCAGCTCTATCTCAAACTACCCCAACAGACCACGCAACCCTCGCCTCACCGCGGGGGGCATACATCGGCACTAATTTAAAATTAAAATGTCATTTATTTAATAGGTCATTGCTCCTTTAAAGCTCTTTCCTCACGCATCGTGAAATTATTTTAAAGTTATAATTTTGCATAATATTTAAAATTGTGTTGTATTTTCTAACACAATTGATAGCGCAATTGACCACGATTCCAGTTCATGTTCATATCACATCAACTCAACATCAACTCTGTCACGCTACCTGGACCTCGAGGGTTTTGCGCAGACAGCGCAGGTCGTGCCTGCGACGGCGCCACGCGGTCAGAAGCATGAAGCGGGCCACGCGCGCCGCCGCCTGCTCCTCCGCCAGCCCTCGCGGCCCCGCACACCGCACAGATACACCATTTTCAATCTCCTTTCTAATAAAACAAATACACACCCTGTCACTACTACGAACAATACGACTCCTAGTGAATAAAGAAGCATGGAGCAAGCAAGCCTAATTAATGATAAAAAAATTAATAGTGTTTTGTTTGACTTTACGTTTCAATGTGTTTTCCCTTTGAAAGGGCCAAGCCAAGATATTCCTTTGTAAATATATTGAGACAGCCAATAGAGCTTCGATTCGAGATTCGATGTGCGGTCGTAATTACAGACACCGAGTACATGTTTCCCTCACCTTCTCTTTGCTATCCTCTTGCTGGGCGTAAGATCCTCCAGCGAGGCGGCCTTGTGCGCGACGCGGGGCGGCGGCGGTGGCTTACTGAGCTCTTCAAGGCAGCTGCGGATACGCTGCAGGTTGCGGCCCGGCGCCTGCCCGCGCCCGAACTTGCTCACGGGCACCGAGTGCACTTGCTTGCGAGGGTGTGCAGGCTGCACGCGGCTGCAACGCGTCATTGCATGACTATTACCTATTTCTTACTAATTATAGGCAAAAGCGAAAATATGGATTGGTTATGATAGACGGATGAGAATGTAGCGAGCGATAGCTACGATTGAAGACATAAGCAAAAAATAAGTTCAGCATTCTGACGTAGCCCGTATCCTCTGCTTTACCTTTAATCCATATTTACGAAACCACAATGACATCTAACAATTGAAGTGTAATGATTCTCATTGCTTTGATGTAAACACGTAATATACGTAAGTTATTGTTAAATAAGTATCCTACAGCAGTTCGTATTTTACTCCTCATACTTATAACCTTAACAAATAATGAAAACATTTTTTAAGATATCATGAAGTGGTTACTGGTCTTAAAAAAATCTTTTTACACAAAAGAACCAAGAATTATATTATAAAAAAAAAAAACTACTCGTCAAACGATTTCATCGAACCCAAACTCGAGGAGGTTGCGTCGTTTGACTGCTAAGTTGCTATGGCCAATTACAGCTCCATCAGCAGATCAGCACCATGTCATTATAATATTGTATTGTGACGCGATTTACACATGTAAGCTTAATCAGTAACGAGGAAGTGGATCAATCAACATTAATTTAAGTACTAGTGCAGGAAATATTGATACATTGAGGACGTCTTTGAGAACAAACACAATTTGACAAACTGCGTACACCCATGACGCTAGTCATTCGTCACCACAGGGAAAACAACAATGTTTCGAGTGGACATCTACAGCCTGTCAACGCGCGCCCAGTCACAGGCCACGTGGACTTGAGGTCACCATGTCTACGACGTATATTTCGTCAAAGTTGGCCACATTTCGTAGTACATTATGACCACATGAAATTATCTGCCCGCAGGTCACAAAACAAACTTAATATTGAGATAAAAGTTGACCAAAGCAAGTTCCCAGCTAGCTACCCCATCCCCATACATCGTAGAAAACTGCACGGTTCCTCTTTTATGATCTTTAAAGATACTTGTACCAAGCATTCGGAAAAAGACCAAGATGGCCTACATCTGACAAAACGTGTCCATCTAGATATGGAGATCTGGCGTGCTTATCTTGAGTTTTACATCATACACCAATAATTTCACAAGCCGTGACATTTTTTTTTAATTTGAAGGCCTAAAATAGTGTTACTGGTATGAACTACATTAACAGCCATTAGCTCGACGAAACCTTTAATATCATCATGACTACTAACTCTAGAAATATGAGAATAGCCAGGTAATTGATATTTTAACTTAAAAGCCAACAAAATACTCACGCAGTGGGTGTGGAGGAGAGGCTGTACCATTCGCGAGACAACTCCCGCTCAGAGATGTCGCCGGCGCCAGTGCGGACAGGCGGCGAAGCATGTTGGGCCATTTTCGGTGATTGTTCCAGCATTTTATAAAAATAAATCGATTAGCAACAAATGATCTCTTTGAAAACGGTTGTCAGATTGAAAGCTGACGTAAATTTGAATGAAATATTACTTTTTTCGAATGTACATTTAACAGTGCTTTCAGTCAGCCTTACATTCATGAAGATAATGAAAAAGGTTGCAGTAGTACGTTATTTTCGATGATGAAATGTCACTAAGCCTTAGTAACAGGCCTTTGGCAGGTACTTTTTTTTATTAGGTATTATTATGAAAAAAGAATCGCAAGGAAATGTGTACAAAACTAGCATTCCTACATTTTGCTTATGATTTCTAAACAGCAAGTGTAAGTACTCCTGTTCAAAGTAATTTGTCTGGTAGAGTCAGCGGTGCCTCCTTGGCCGGCGCCAGTCGGGCTTCGCCCTGTACGGGGCAAGGGCTAGGGCGCCGCTCCGGCTGGCGCCGCGGCGCACCCTCGCACTTTAAATTATTCCTGATCGTATCGCACCGACGCCGTTTTGACTGCCTAGGTACCTGCACCTAGGTTTATTATGATGTGTCAATATGAATTATTTAATTTCTGGTACAAAATTCTGTTAGTCGTCAAGAAAGGCAACATTGTATTTATTTAACGACAACTTTAAAATAAGCAATTATAAAACTAACCAACATGAGTCTGTTTCACTATTCTATTGGAGTAGATTAGGCAGGTTTTAGACTTTGCCATTTAATTTCAAGTTTGCGTTCTGTTCAAAATTTTTTATTTTTTTATTTAATATTTGAAGCTTTTTAAATTTATTTTTATTAATGTTAAACTTATTTATGATTTTAATCACCTCAGAAGGTGTGACATTTGAAAAATCAAATAAGAAAACTGTTGTATACATGCACGTTATCGCACAGTCTAATCAAAAATTCAACAACACCTTATAACTTATTTTATAAAACGCGTAATACTACGCAATTCAGAATGAGGGTAAAATAGGGGAAAGGGACAAGGGTTACATTAAAAACGCTTTGATATTTGAATCGAGGTGAAATGGCAGGTTTGGCGCCACACGCGAAGTGACAGCGCGTTGCCACCGCGCCGCCGCGATGCCGCGCCGCGCCGCCAGACGTCGCCACACGCTACCTTGTCGCGACCATAGACAACCTATAGGCTGGCAGCCGGCACCGCGCCGCCAGGCCACCACTCCGCGCGACACACACTGAGTCATGCTTGCACTTGCAAAACAAACGAGCCCCGAACGAACTTTCTAATCACAACTTGGTATGCTTGTAGAAACCGATGCTAACAGGAAAACGAACAAATTAATTCAATACTAACTGAACTGTAGTGTATAACATTTTTCTTGTTTTTGAGAGCAATAGCCTCAACTTGTCTTACTTCTTTGAAACTACAAGCCAATGTTTGTACAGTGCAGCGGGCTAGATCGGGCAAACGACCCCTTTCACTAGCACTTTTCTAGTTATTCTCCTATTTCTGTAAGTCCTTTTTAATTGACACACACAGAGTCTTTAAATGGTCAAGGTAGAAGACCCTTAGTATAGATTAATAATTAACAGTTCCTAGCACAAATCAAGATACTAAGATATCACGGTTCAATTCATGTTCATGCAATAAAAGCTAATTGTACCAAATAATAGAACGTTTAGAGCTGAGCGAAGAAAGCGGCGTAATGTTTGAAGTTTGACGCTTAAACTAAAATTTAAAAGAAAATGCTTCACTGCGGCTTTTGCTCGGATTGTTTTATTAGAAGTAAGCGAATTTAAAGTAAATCTTGGTAAATTGGCGTTTATTAAATGAATTAATTAGTAACATAGGCGGATATTACAAATGTCGTGTGTAGTCCTCAAGGGTACGGATACCGCGCCTTAATCTACATACGTCGTCCAAGATAACATGCTTCCTTAATACTCTACCATTTTTTGTACACACAAGAAATGATTTGGTCTAATATTACTTAGTAACAATCGAGTTTTTTGTAAAGCAGCAAACTATTTTTTATCTGCTATCTCTGTTTCATCTTAAATGTGGTCTCCACGGAAATACTTAGGCTAGGTGAACAATGTATCGATATTTTCTCTGCAAATTCACCTCTAATCTAGTTTATTTTTAAAAGTGACTGGGGTTTATGTGCATTTATACGAAGACTGACTAATACTGAATTTATTGGTTTTATTGAAAAATATTAATCGGTTTTGGGCTTGATCATTTTTTAAAAAGTAAATAAAAGGTAAATAATTACCTATTAAATTACTACACTCTCACAATACAATATATACATGTATTTTTGAATTCTACAAAATGCGTAAGGGTGGCGGTGACTCATGCCGCCTAATCAAATACGTATTATCAGACTCTGAAAGCGTCCCACGCATTACAGGATCGTTTCTAACAACCTTGTGACTCATACAGGGGTTGCTAAATGAAAAGAAAAACTTATGAGATACAGTAATAAGATAATACTGCAGATAGATTTTATACTACATCGGAAAATGTCTCACTTGGCAACAAAGTAAAAATTTCATTGCAAAATAGACCGTAACTACAATGTTTTCAAACAATGTTAGAACAATTCTTAGGATCATAGTAATATAATTCTAAGAATTTAAGATAAGTATTCAAAGCATATAACTAGTGTTACAGTGTTTAATAATGTAGCATAAAATATGGCAATAAATTAGAAATAAAACGCGGGAAACAGCAGATTAGATTCTGTTTTGTTTTTCTCTCGCTCCTTCGTATGTTAAAAAGTTTTGAATCTGCACTGCGCATGCGCGGCATCCGCATACGTCACTATGCCCATGTGACGGTTTACCACCAATAGAAAGTCTTCTGTATTGGTGTGCGATTTGCAGCTCAAGCACACAGTAACGAATTATCATCATTTGACGTTCACTCCGTCGGACGACAAAGTGTTAACTTTTGTCGATCGTCTTTCGATTATTTTTTTTCATAAATTTGTGTTTAATATTTGTTGTTACTTTACAAATTGCGCTAAAATAAAACAAAAAGTGAGTATAGTGGTGAACTAGTTTGTGTTAAGTTTATGGATGCGTGCATGCTGTTTTCGTCGAGACCTTGATAACTAGTTCCTTGGACGAAAGAAGAGCCAGTTATTATAGGATCATGCCCGAAGAGGTACGTCTTTAGTTTACGTATAGTGAAGTCGACCGTGCGTGTTTATTTCCTGATCGCTTACTAACCAGTGAGGTTTTGTGTTCAAAGTTCGTAGAAGCAGTCTAAAACGTAAAGTGCGTTTCGTTCAGTGCTATTATGACGAAGTTAAAGTAAATGTTCGCCACCGAAGGACGGCCGTGAGGTGTCTGCCAGCTAGACATTCGATAAATATTGAAATGGACAACGACGGAGGTAAACCGTAAAGAAACTGCATGTCTCATTTTTATGTCGTCCGTTGGCAATTGACACTCGCGCCTGCCACTTTGCACATCGTTTCTTTTTTATTTCGCTGGCTGAATCGGAGTCGGTTTGGCTAGGTCTTTCATTAGTACAATTTCAGTCTGTACTGTAAATAATAGCTTCTTTCTGTCTGTTGCTCAGCTCGCTGAGTGTGGTTCTAAAAATATCCCTAACGCTGGCCGCAATCGCCATCCGCACATACATCGAAAGTAGACTAGATGTTTAGTTTGTTCGAAATTTCTCTAATAGTTGCTGAATTTATTACACATTTTAACAGCTTTTAACAATGTAGCATAGTCTGTAGTTATTATTAATGTTTATTTTTTTCAATCATTGTTTGTAAAGTTAAATAACATGTGATCTATTTTTTCTGGTCCATTTTAAATGCTGTATTGCAAATGAACTGTTAATGGATTCTAGTAAGAAATTGTTACACTATATTTATCCTTACATATAATTGTGTAGATAAAAATAAGATTGATGCCAACATGTCACAAAAATAATTTAAAAAATATGTATTGGGCTTCACTTCCCACTTTTACCTTTAAAAGTTGTATGCAACAAATCAATTTATACCAATTACACATAGTAAGTTGGTACATTATACTATGTTGTACGACACACAAAAATCCTTGTTATTTTTAACTTTTTATAGTAATTAACACTAAGTTGCATGTTACAAGGTAAACATAATAGTAGTCTAATTCTATATATAATAATAGTCTAACCTCTTTAAATTTGAAGCGCCAATAGCCCAATGGTTAAGGGTACATATTTCCAATCACACGGTCAAGAGCTTGAATCCTGCCATTCCTTATTAAACCCTTTCCTAGCACACGTCAACAGCTTATTTGGAATGGTACAGGACATATTGGTAAATCAAAACAAAATTGCTAATATTTAAAAAAAAATCCAATATGTAAATGTGGATTTCCACTGCAGCAACACTTGAATTAATACATATTGTCATCCCTTTTATGTTGACTGATAAGACAGAGACAACAATATGTATACGGCACAACAGTGAAGTTCTACAATAACAGACATCTGCTGTATTATTACTAATGTTATCAATTACCATGCATACAATTTCTAGACATCCAATTGCTCTTTGATCTTTTTATCATAATTGCGGTTGAATGTCTGCTTTTTTGTAAAGTGCACATTTATTGTATGTACAAGCAAGCAAATATATTCATAAATATGCATAAAATGACATTTGTCAAATTTTCAATGTTTGTTTGAATTTTTGGTAGTGTGCTTTGTTAGTTAGTTACCGCTACTCCAAGACTTCTTTGCGTGTTTCTTTCATGCTTCCTTTCATAGTCAGTTGAACCTAGAGAAGTCAGAGTACTAGACTGCATTATAGAGGTTTCTCTCTAACCCAAGTTTTTGCTTATGGACGGCATCCATCACAACCAGATTATGTCTGTTTCCTATAAAGGTTTTTACTTATCCAGGTTCAACTGTATTACGTGTATGACAAATATATTAATGAAACAAAATGGACAAAAAATTTTAACATTTACACAGCACTTACAAAATTTTCACGCTTTTTAATTTGTCTTTTTCACAATATCAAATGTAGTTTTAGGTAAACTTTACTAGCTAGACAAATGTTAGGATTCAATGTTCCGGTAAAACAAACCAAAAAATGATTAACAACGGGAAACAGAAATACATTGGTGCTCTTTTTACCGTATGTTTGAAATTTCTCAAAAGTGATAAGCTCCGTTTCTCAGTTGACAAACTACACACTAAAACCCTGTAGTCAAAAAATAGCAATATTTAGTTGTTGTTTTACTGCATCTAAAAGATTCTACATAAAAATCATACATGAGGAACTGAGTGAAAATTAACAATTAGCAATCTTACTTCTTACTCATGCGAACATTGTGATGGATGGATGGGTGTTTGTTTGAAAGTATCCCCGAAACGATACAACAAATCTTGATGAAATTTGGCACTGATGTAGAACATAGTCTCAAAGAACACATAGGCTAGGTATTATTTTTTCTTGTTCCGCGCGGACGTAGTTGCGGGCGACAGCTAGTGATTCTTGTAGGCATTAGGCAACTGAGATTTAATAGCACTTATTACGTGCAATTATCTCTGCATTGGTTTGTTTTAAATTCCATGAATGAAACTCTCGACAGCCATTCAAATGTATGTATTTGTCTATTGTATTATGACGAATCACTTAGCTCTAACCACTAGGCATGTGTGTGAGTGAGTTTTCCATGTATTAGTAGTTTGTATTGAAAATAATTTTATAACGACTTTTAATCTTTCTCGAAGAACGACGAATTGCGGGATAAAATCCCGCGACAGATTCTTAACCAATAAGCTCTGTACGAGAGTTTTTAAATTCCAATTATTTGCTCAGACTAGTGCTTAGTGTACTGTATTTTAGTGTTTATTTTTAAGCCCTAATATACTTTTTATCAAACCATTTAACTTCAAATATTTTTTTACAACCTAACACCACAAATTATGTCAACTTACGTAACGAATGTATGGAGGGCTTTAATTTAGCAGCATGATGGTGAGAATGAAACTACGTTCAACATTCTTTTATTTTTAATTCGTTTACTAAACGTGCCGACCGAAAACAGTCTACGACAATCGCCAGTTTATAAATCCTATTACCAAACGGTTCACACAGCGAGCACATAACTTTTGGCTGTAGTCCAAATTAACTATATAATATATGTCTTATATACCGTGGTAAAATACCATGCTATCGCAATTTAACTGGAGATATGATTTAAATAATATTCCCACTCATGTATAAAAATGCACACGAAAAATAATACGAATAAAATTCGCAAAAAAGTTGTTTACGAACTTAAGGGCTTTGTCCTTGAGTAGATTCCTTAGTTGTATGCAGTGGCATGTCCGATTCGCATTTTTATTATGTGTTTTGTTTTTGTTACGCGAACTAGGACTTTATCAAGGAGTTTGACTAAAGAAGTGTTTTTTTTCTAGTATTTATTTTTTCATCCGCTTCTTCCAGTTCATTACATTTGCGTTTTCTGTTGCTCCGAGTTGGAGTTCGCTATTTGAACCATTTCATTCATTTTAGAACAATGTTCGTAGTTCAAAAAGCTAGGTGAAATCAAGTCTGCGTAGTATTTTAGTGAGTTTCTTACTTTTAAAAGTTGCAAGTCATGAAATTTACAATAAGTTTAACCGCAAAAGTGAATAAGCATTGACATGCGTAATTACATAAAATATGCATGAAACTGATCAGCTTGTCTCGCGAGCATTATTAATAAAACAAAATTATAAAAGAAAAACGGAAAACAAGTTTGTCTACTAACTTCTCCCCAGAGTTGACGTAATGGGCCACCGGTCGAAGCAAATGTTATTAACATTGTTACTCAGGTTTTCCTCAACCCCGTATACGTATCCGAACAGAGATTTATGTAAGCGCCAGTACCGTGAATGCCTTCATCTCGGGCTGTCGTGGACTGTCACATTTTAAATATATAAAGTTTCAAAAAAATATTGTTGTGAAACTATGATGTATATTCTGCATGTATTCTCTCGAGGGAGACAGAAAGGTTTTTAATTTTTTTTATTTAGTACAACAAGTGATTAGATTTTTGTGATTTACTTAAAGTAAATAAACATATTTGGTGGTAAGCTTTCAAGATGATGCGTCTTAATACTTTCCTTAAGTTTCGTAGATTATCTCTAAGGTCCTTGGCGTTGTATCATTTGTTTATTGTTATTGATGTGCCTAATAGTTCAAGAGACGGAAAGGCTAGCACCACTTACTCTACTACGTTATTATTTACGTGAGTATAATGGCGGATTTGAACCCGCGGACTTAAATGTACTCCGAACATTGAACTATTAGGTAGACCCAGTTGAGAAAAAGATTTTTATTTTAACAATCACACACTAGTAATATGACCTTGGCCTTGGTAGAGCTATGTGTGCACTATATACTCGTAGTACATGTAAATAGTATGACAACATTATATACAACTATAGAATTAATTATGTATATTAAGCCAACTACACACCTTCAGTCGGACTGTTAAGATGAAACAAAAAATCTATACATAATAACATAATAGCCTGTAAAATTATTATGGCGCGTAAATTTAATAACAAACTTATATAACGATTTCAATTATTAGGATAAGTCCAAACATTTAATATTCAGAACAATATTTACATAGATTACGAAGCTACAAACAGAACTTTATATATAATTTACAATATAATAAATATGTATTACCTGCATTCATACATAAGTACATACATATTTGAATGTCTGATGCGATTACTACAACTGCACTCTAGCTGCCGAACTCAGAGTTATTTATTAAAGTCTTTAGTTATATGTTACTATCGTCAAATCTCTGGCTGCGGGTTTCAGAGATTAAAATCTCCTTTCAAAACATTGTTATATCTGTATTTGTCAAAGGTAAAGACACGGATGACGATATATTTTATACAGAGATTTTGGTTTTGGAAAACAATGGTAAATCGTATATCGATTTTATCCATCAATACTATGGAAAGTGCAATGTTTTGTTTATCGTCATAAATTTATTAATAAATTAATTACTAATTATCACAGTGATTTGTCATTTTTGTGATAGTATTTATGATAAGATAATTTTATTTTACAACTAACTGTCGCCCGCGACTCCGTCCGCGCGGGATTAAAAAAAATAGATGTTAGCCGATTCTCAGAGCTACTCAATATGCTCACAAAATTTCATGAGAATCGGTCACGCCGTTTCGGAGGAGTATGGCGACGAAAATGGTGACACGAAAATTTTATATATAAGATGTGAATCAAATGTTGTGCACATATAATACGATGTTTAGAACCCCCCCCCCCCCCG